TTGGTTTTTCATGTTACTTAATATTTGTTTTATATAGTTGGGGCATTAATATTTGGTGCATATATGTTTATGATTGTTATCTCTTCCTCTTGAATTCTTCCCTGAGACTTATTATTTATATGTCTTCTCATTTCAACAGATGCAGCCTGCTGTGCCTTTGCTGAGGAAACTTTTTGCTCATCCAGTGGTCCAATTCTCAGCAAGCCACAGAGTAGCCTTTTCTTTGCTATTCAATTCCTGGGTTTAGAATGGTGGATTTCTGGATCCCTGAGCTGATTTGTTGTTTGGGCAGGCTTCTGGCTGGTGCCTGTGCAGACTTGGGATGGTATCTAGATGTGGCCCTTATGTAGCTGTTGTCTGGGAGGTCTTTTGGCTGGGGGCTTTGCACACCAGTTACTGTTGTCTGTGTAGGCTTCTACTTAGGGTCTCCATGCACTTATCAATGACATTGGATGAAGCCTCTGGCTGTTGCTTGTGCATCTGTGTGATTCTTTTATACATGGGCCCTTGGCTATCACCAATAGTATGGCAGGCCTCTGGCTGAAGCTTGTGGGCCTGTGCAGCTCTTTTCTGGGTGTGACTTTAGCTTGTGTGGGTATGTTCTTGCCTCTGGGGGTGGCACAGTGCCCTGGCTGGGTTCCCACAGTAGCTTCCTTGCTGTGGTTCACACAGCTGCTCCTTGGGATTTGCATAGACTTAGCAATGGTATGGTAAGTGTCTGGATGAAGCATGTGCACCTGTGCAGCTCTTTTCTAGGTGGGCCTGTGCCTTGGGTGCCTCTGGTGTCAGGGTGGGGCCCTGGCTGGTATTCACTCTTGTCCACACAGCTGCTCTCCAGGATCTGTGTGTACTTACCAGTGGTATGGTGGGTCTCTGGAGGAAGCTTCAGTAGCTTTTTAATAAGATGAGATCCCAGTTGTTGATTCTTTGTGCTATGTCTCATGCTACTGAGTATTTGTTCATAAAGTCTTTTCCTATATCAGTGACTTCAAGAGTTCTACCTAACTTATCTCCCAGCAAGTTTAGTGTTTCTGTTTTAATATTTAGATCTTTAACCCACTTTGATTTTAGTTTAGTGTATGGTGAGATAGGAAGCTAGTTTTAATCCATGGCAGGATGAAATCCAGTTTTTCCAACATAATTTATTGAAGAGGCTATCTTCCCTCCACTGAGGATGGTTGGCTTCTTTGTCAAAGATGAGGTAGCTAAGTATATCAGGAGTCATTTCTGCATCTCATAATCTATTCCACTCAGGTCCGTTTCTTTGCCAGTACCATGCTGTTTTTATCACAGTAGTTTTGTAGTGTAGTTTCAAATTAGGGATTGTGATACTCCCTACCTTGTCTTTATTGCCTAGAATTGCTTTTGCTACTCTAGGTCTCTTCTTGGTCCAAATGAATTTTTGGATTTTTTTTCTCTAGTTCAGTGAAATATACTGTTGGGATTTCAATAGCGTTTGCATTGAATCTGTATAGCAGTTTTAAAATTATGGCCATTTTCACTATGTTGGTTATTCTTACCCATGAGCAAGGTATGTCATTCCCTTTTCTTCTATCCTCTTGGATCTGTTCTTTCAGATTGCTGTAGTTTTCCTTGTAGAGGTCTTTTGCTTCTTTCATTAGATTGATTCCTAGGTATTTCATTTTTTGGATGTTATTGTGAAAGGAATTGTTTCCCTAATTTATTTTCTCAGGAAGTCTATTATTTGTGTGCAAGGAGGCTATTTTTGAGTGTTGACCTTGTATCCAGCCACTCTTCTGAATCTGTCAATTAAGTCTAGAAGTCTGTCAATTAAGTCAGAGCTTTTTGCCTCTTCTATGTAGAGCATCATAATGTCAGCAAATGACAATTTAACTTCTTCCTTTCTTGTCTTTATTGATCTTATTTCTCTTTCTTGTCTAATTGGCAATTTGTTCTTTATCATAATCATTTAAAAATTTGAACATTCACTGTGTATTTTGTATATTGTGATCATGCCTCATACTTATCTCCCAGAAATGCAAAAAGATTTAACTTTCAGTGTAGTTAGTATTTGTATATTTGTTTAGGGTCTTTATACTCCTGTTTTAAGCTAACACTAGTGAAAACTCAATGGTCATGACATGTAATTGACATTAAGGGTTTGAGTGGTACATTTTTCTCTCTTTCTCTCTTCTTCTGTATTCTCAGCTCAGACAGCCTTTGGCAGGAGACTTGCATCTGCAGTTCTCTTACCTGTCATGGAGCATGGAGATGTGAAAGGTGGGAAACGTTTCACAATTTGCACCTAGAACATGCTCTCAAACCAGCATCATCACTAGTACAGCTGATATTTTGATCTGGCTGATTATGTCTACTCTCAGTTTGATCAAAAAACTCATTTGCAGGGGCATGATTAATCCAAATGTTTAGCATATCACTCTTTTAGCATATCACTTTTCAGTTTTTCTTTTGGGCCTCTGATTTGTTGTTGGGATATATCTTCCTGAAGATGTTTAGCAGCATCCTTGGCCATTGCTTACTAAGTAGCACTCCCTTCCCTTCCCAGTTGTAAAAACACAGAATGTTCCAGGCATTTAAAAATATCTCCTGGGGTTTCTTTTGCAGTGCAGAAGCTTTTTAATAAGATGAGATCCCAGTTTCTGGTTCTTTCTGCTAGTTCCCGTGCTACTGAGGATTTGTTCATAAAGTCTTTTCCTATGCCAATGTCTTCAAGAGTTCTGCCTAACTCATCTTCCAGGAAGTTTAGTGTTTCTTTTTTAATATTTAGATCTTTAATCCACTTGGATTTCAGTTTAGTGCATGGTGAAAGATAAGGGTCTAATTTTAATCTTTGGCAGGTTGAAATCCAGTTTTTCCAACACCATTTGTTAAAGAGACTATCTTGCCTCCAGTGAGGATGGTCGGCTCCTTTGTCAAAGATGAGGTAGCTGAGTACATCTGGAGTTGTTTTTGTATCTTCCAGTCTGTTCCACTGATCCTCACATCTGTTTCTTTGCCAGTACCACAGTTTTTATAGCAGAGGCATTATAGTATAGTTTCAAATTGGGAATTGTTATACCCTCTGCCATGTGTCTGTTGCCTAGAATGGCTTTCGCTATTCTAGATCTCTTCTGGTTCCAAATGAATTTTTGGATTCCTTTTTCTAGTTCTGTGAAATATGGTGCTGGAATTTCAAATGACATTGCATTGAAAAGAAACAATCAACAGAACTAAAAGACAACCTACAATGTGGGAAAAATTTTTACCAGCTGCTCCTCAGACAAAGGACTATTATCTAGAATATATAAAGAACTCAAAACAATCAGCCCCTCAAATATAAAGACCTGATTCAAAAATGGGCATCTGAAATGAACAGACATTTCTCAGACAAAGAAGTAAAAGCAGAAAGTAAATATATGAAAAAATGTTTCACATCACTGATCATTCGAGAGATGCAGATGAAAACAACACTGAGATTTCACCTCACCCCACAAAGAATGGCTGCTATCAAGAAATCAAACAATGACAAATGTTGGCAGGGTTGTGGGGAGAAAGGAACCCTTCTCCATTGTTGGTGCAAGTGCAGATTGGTGCAACCACTATGGAAATCAATATGGAGATACCTCAAAGAGCTTGGACTAGAGGTTCCATTTGACCCAGTCATCCCTCTACTGGGTATCTTTCCAAAAGAATTAAAAGAATATATGTGACCTATGTTTATAGTGGCACAGTTTGTAATATCTAAAACTTGGAAACAGCCCTTTTGCCCATCAGTTGGAAACTGGATAAAGAAGATTATGATTTTTTCTATAAAATGGAATACTAATCAGCCATAAAGAATGATAAATTAGATTTATTCTTAGGAAAATGGATACATATTGAAGATATACTCTTAAGTGAAATAAATAAGTCACACATGTGTAAATACCAAATAGTTTCTCTGGTGTGAAAAACTGCAACAGTACATAAGATCCTAATAATATAATTGACAATGTGAAATAGGAAGAAAAGGGGTAAAGGTGTAGGGAAAGTGGGAAGGGTAGGAGAAAGGTAATAAGGGAAAAGAAAAAAAATAGGAGAAAATGAAAAAATGGAAATAAAATGTTTGTAAATGGGGAGCTGAGGAGGGGGTGAAGGGAGGGTAGGGACAAGGGGAAAAATGAGAACCAAGACCACCTGTCATGTAAAGGTACAAGATCCCAATAATGAATGTAACTGTACTAAAGTGTACCAATAAACTCAATGAGGGAAAAAAAATCTCCTGGGGAACAAAATTGTGTTGGACTGAGCAAGAGCTCATTTCTAGTGGAAAATGGGCAACATGTAGCAGAAGTGAATGCCTCAGTCTTTCTGTCATAGCCAGGCTAGGCTTCCCAAGGATACTAACATTTGACCTGAATTATGTAGGATGAGCTACCTATTGGTCATAGGATAATTTTAAAGTGACATTAGGGAGGTATTCATGGCTCTCTGTGATGTCTTCTTTGACTCAAAACAGCTTTCCTATCACCCCTCAATTCTCATTCTAGGAATTACCTATAGGACCCAGCTAGCTCTTCCTTAACTCAATGGATTTACTTATTTGCATGTTTCAAATTCTCCTTTGCCTGGTTAAACTTAATGGTACACTACCTTTGAAAAATGATCTGATTTCCAAAGCAAATTCCTCTAGATGGGAGTCAGTTTCACTTAAAAATTTTCGGAATAGATTATCCTATGAACTACATATCTGAATAGATAGGATTTCGTATGGGACAATTTTAGGTATTATATCTGATCATCATTATTTGATCATTTCTGATTCTCTGATTGTGTCAGTTGTTGCACATTCATGAGAAGAGACTTACATTCTACCTCACCTTGGATGTGAGTCATCTGGTAATGTACTTGGCTAGGGATAAGGAAGCAAAGAATATGGAAGGAGTGTGAGAAAAAAATTCACAGCATCTCCCAGCAGGTTGTTAAACTCCATTGGTAGGCAGAAGAAGTTTAGCAGTGGTATAAATGAGTCACATGGAAACATAAATGAGTTTGGCCATTTATTGGTGCCACAAAAGGCAGGCTATTATTACAGAATGGCTTTAAGTAATGGAGTACCCACCAGCATACCCCTTAAAGACACTGGAGCAGGAGGGCTAGTGAAGTAGCACAGAGAAATAGAAAGGAAGTAGGTTGGGCCTTGTGTGTCATACAACCACTTCAGGGAGCAATAATAGGTAGAAATATACTTTTTCCATCATATTATTTTTAATGATATAACTTAAAATAATAACAATACACAAAGTAGCAATATAAACAATGATTAGCATTAAGTATGTTGGCTAAGATGTAGCACCAGGAAGTTTATATCTCTAAACACTCCTTAGAAAGTTAATCACTGTGGACTGAGCACCAGATACGCTGTCCCAGAGCTTCATCTTAAATTCAGAAAGAAAAAAGCCCTGTATTCTCTGGGGTAGCAATGTATAATTTTCAGAGTTTAGAGGATTTTAGTTAAATGGGAAATTATGGTCTGCAATAATATAATCCCTCAAACTGTGTCTCAGATCATTGATAAAGGTTGCTCACAACACCCATGGGATCTCTGAAAACATCACATGGTGGTGGATGGTTGGGTGTTTTAGGAGATTGGATGGAACCCTGCTCTTGCTTAAGAAAACCCAACACAAAACAAAGTGTTCCTACACAAGGAGGCAATTCTGTGTACCACAAAGTAATTTTCTAATTTTAAAAAGTATTCACTATTAAGTTTCTTAGAATATTATTTTGTCATACTGTTGTATTTGTAATTATGTTTTGATGTTCAAGAATTAAATGAACCCACTACTTTTTAGAAAAGAGCTAACACTATCACTGTGAAAGGTAATGTAAACCAAACCTGGCTTTAGAGCCTCGACATATTTAAGCACCAGGCCCTGTAGTGGCCCTCTCTGGTTCATGATAGATGTATATCCAGTGTCTCTTACTATATTTTTCACTTCCCCCTGCAAGGTGGGAAGGAGGAGGATCTGGATGAAGTAACCCAAGAATTCTGCCTCATGAACATCAAAGAAATGAAGACACTATCCAAGCTGTTGCCTTCAGAATCTCCTGCTAGTACTGCAGGTAGCAGGATTTGCAGAAACTCTGATGACCCATTGCTGAGTGGTTGCCAGGTGACTCTTATAGAAAGCACCACTGATGAATGCCTACACAAGCATCTCACGGCATAACTTCAGTACAGGAAGTGAATGTCCATAACGCATGATTAGGCCCTTGAGTAACTTGATAGCATACAACATTTGACCAGATTCCCCCATGAGCTTACCATCTTCTCTGTCACATTGGCCATAAATGACATGTTTCTTTCATACATTGGGAAACAAAGCTGAGTTTAGATTGTTGAGGTCAATAGGAATCCTGGTTTGTTCCTGAGTTTTTCATGCCTGGTTATATGCAGGTCTCTGATAACTTGTTTCACTCAGTGCTGGTACAGTCTCAGGTTAAATCAATCTGGCTTACTAAATTCATCCCTCTGAAGGCCTCCACAATACGTCAGAAACAACCTTTGCAAATTGCCTCATTAGAAAAAATGAGATTCTCCTCAATTCATGCCATTAACCATTTAACTGTGCTCCCCCTAAAACTGCTTTTTCACTAGAGATTGTCATCAGCCAGCACTGTTTATATTGAAAAAGAGAAAATATAAGAATGTGTTATAATCTAGAAATAAAACTGACTTAGGCAAACATTTCCACTTTCCCACTCTTTCATGTCCACCTTAATTTCATCTCAAGACCAGTGTTTTTATTTTCCACAAGAATTTATCAGACTAATGTATGATGATGGTTTGAAAAAAAATAAAAAGCATATAATAAAAATGCTGTTTAGGACACCTAAGCAGTAGCATTGGCCAGCAACATCATTCCACATTTACAGAGGATTTCTATGTGAAGTTTCACATACAACTAACCCATTTATGCCACTCCCTAATCCTTTATGTTTCTATCTGTTGGGCCACCGTCTAGATATTAGCACCATTTGTCAGCAGCACCATTCGGCCGAACAGGTAGATAACGGAAGAGATACATGGGACATTGTGCTCTGTGCTGAAGATTAAGCACATCTGTATGTGAGTCTGAAAATATACTATTAGATGAAGGCCACATTTCTGTCATCCATCCCTGTCAAGAAGTAGTTCTGAGGTCTTCCCTTTGGGATTTATATTCTTTCTCCTACAATTCTGTCTCACCGCATTCAGTTGATGTGAGGACCTCTTTTAGAAATCATTTCGCCTGATAACTTGCTTCAAATTTGAGACCACAGTCTACTTTTACTACTGACAGATGTAGGAATGTCCAAGGTAAGTATTCTAACTTTCTAAATTAATTAAGTGTTTTTGCATTCTCCTCACTTGTCAACTTCTCCAAAGTAAATGACATGACCTGTATTTTCAATTCTGTGTGTGTGTGCGCACACGCGCGTGTCTGAGAACCGAACTCAGAACTCTGCTCATGCTATCCATGCACAGTACTACTGAGGCACAGCTCCAGTTGTAAAAGATCTTCAAATGTAACTAATGGGAACACTGAGGAGTAGACAATCATTAAATCACTTTTTTGATTCTTGGAGTCAGGGTGTTGCTTTCTAGTCCAGGCCAGCCTTGAACTTACAATTCTCCTGTTGCAGTCTCCTGAATGCTATGATTACAGGCATGCACCACCATAACTAATTTTTATCTCACTTTTTAAAGTTTTTTTCCCCTCTCTCTCTTTAGACTATAAGTCTATATGAAGTACTTGTACGACCTAGTACAGTTTACCTGCTTTTTAAGAGTTTAATCCGGGGCTCCATTTTCCACTCTGGGGGAGGTAGGGACAAGTGGCAGCCATGGCCCTGCTTATGCACCCTGGTGTACAGAGCTTCCTGCCTCAAGATGACAATGGGAGCTGAGCTCACATCTCAGGCAAGGGCTTGGCTGGAGAGAGAACGCAAGGCAGGAAAACTCATTTATTCTTGAAGGAATAAGTATGTGTGAAGAGAGTGGAAAAGATAAAGGCCCACATTTCTTTTGTTATGCAAGCTAGAAATTGGATTTCTGTTCACTTGCTATTTAACATTTTGTATAGAAATTATCCTTTGGGGCTTTTGAAATGTTTTCTGTGTAACTAACCCAGATGTCTTAGGCATGTCTGCATTCTCTTAGTTTTGACTCTAGAGCTGTGGTGATGAACCCATGGCACGGCACGTGATTTTTTTCTTTTAAGACATTAATGTATGAGCTGTTTTTTCTGAACTAAACTTCCGTACTCAGCTTCAGTTGCAGTGTTGGCACTTTGTGGTAAATACGTGAGTTTTGCTTGCAGTTTAGGCACGCCTCTGTAAAAGTTTTGCTCCCACTGCTCTAGAGGTTCAGGGCTACAAGCCTGATCATACATATGAAATTTCATGCAAACAAGGCCCTGTGGAGTCCTGCAGGGACCAAGGCAGTACAATGAGAGCACTTTCTCTTCCTACCCTTATGGAATTTGGAGTGAGGAAATCTGTCCTCTGCCTGGTTGAATTAAATGAATGTTTCTAAAACTATCCCATGACATTTGAAACAGCAGCTGCCCCAGGCAGGTGGGAAAGGATGCATCACCAAGGTAAATTAAAAAGATTATTTGTTCCCTGGGTAATTAAGGCTCTGTTTCCTGAAACTCTTGAGGTAGTCTGGGAAAAGTCAGATCTCCTTGTTTTTATCTTTAAGGAGGAAAGAAGACATCATTTCACAGACCTGCCTAATCTGGCACCTTTCCCGGAGCTGATCCCCTGCTGATGTGGGATTCTGCTGCATATTTCACCTTATAATCAGGGAGCATCAAGGACGACAGTCCCAGGTCTCCTGTGAGGAACAGTTTGTGGCTAGAGGAACACAATAGAGTTTGTTTAGACCTGAAACATGTGAAGTAAAACTTTTGGTGAAATGGCTTTCAGGGCTAAAGCACGTCAGGGTCAGCAGGCTGCTGCAGGGCATGGTGAGGGTGGCTTCCTTCCGGACTTACAGTGCTTGGGGGTTTTTGAACAACTGTTGCCTTCTTTGCCTTTGGGTGTGGACAATGTGTGTCTGAGGACATGAAAAACAGCACTGGGCCTTCACAGTGGGCGTGGAACATTTCTTCATAGCCTTTAGGGTCTGACAGAAATTGGCTGACAGTCTGTCCTTGGTGCAGTGTAAATCTGTGGGAAGAGAAAAAATATATCCAAGGATTATTCTTTGTGGGCAAATGGATATATCTACTAATGTAAGACTTCATATGCCTACCAAGAAAGGATCCATGGAAGTTCATTAACAGTAGAAATTCAATGAATATTTATTATATATCAGATGTTGTGCACAACGATTGTATTAAGCTGATTCACCAGTCACAATTCTTCACCTTTGTGTTAGCATTATAAATTTTCACCATTCTATGGCAGCTCGGTGGGCGAGAACACTTCTCCACTCCTCAACTTTGGGCTCAGTTTTATGACTTGTTTTGAACAATTCAATATTAGCAGCCATGATCCCTGCAGGGGATCATGCAAGAGGTGCAAGGGGTTCTTGGAAGGTGCAAGAGGTTCTTCCTGTCCTGATAAGCTTTAGTCATCACCATTAAAAGACTTAGTTTGTGCAGCTACCAACAGGTGAAGAGCGACACATGAAGCAGACCTAGACCCAACCTACAGCTTGCAGCCAAGGCCAACCAAAGCCAGCCTACATCAGCTGAATCTTAGCTGACTTACACATGTTGGGCAGAAAATACATGGCTAGTTTTGAACCTTTGAATGTAGGAATGCTTTTCGCGTAGTATTTTTATGGCAATAGCTGACTGCAGCATTTTACACACATACCTTCATTTAACCTTTGTAGCAGTATTAGCAGGTAAATAGTCTTCCCATTTCACAAAGGAGAAAAGTTAGGTCTAGAGCAGCTAAGAGCCTGCACAATCTCATGCAGCTGGTAAGTGGCATGGGTAAAACTGAATGCAAGCAGTTTACTCTGGAGCTAATGTGCTGGTCACACAACTCAGCATTTCAAGGAATAAAGCAATCAGCCAACCAGCCAATGCTTCTTGAGCACTGCTAAGTAGAATGAAGGATACAGATAAATTATGGTCTCTTGCCCTCCAACAATGTACCATAGATGAAGGTATGAGGCATGCACAAATAATTCCTATGACAGTAACCAAATGGCTACTTGAGTTCTAATCCTGCTCTTTTCTACTTAGCCACGGGCAAGTATCTCTCTCTCTCTGGCCTTTCTTTCTTCATACTTGATGATTCGGGGACCACTCACATACATGTTCTATAAGTGAGGCTCCAAATGCATCAGCCCAAGTACTACTGGAATTAAATGAGGCCCAAATTACAGTTTTTTTCTCCCTTGTCACTCTGGTTGCCTTTTTTTTCCTCTTAACCACCCTGAAGAGAAGCATGTCCTCAAACAGATCTCTGCCCTTTAACAAAGGAATCAGTGAAGGAGAAACTGAAGTGATAACTTCTTGACACCATGCTTGTGATTTTTTGCTTCTTCATGCCTTTTTTTTTCAAAGAGACAAAAGCAGGATTTATTAGAGGTAGATATAGGTCACACTTAAGAGTACAGTGAGGGTACTTAGAGAAATTAGGCACTCTTTGCTTTTTTCACCTTCAGAGGTAAACTGATATTTTTCCCCTTAGAATTTATCATTTCCTTGACAGAGCCCTGTTTTGGGGGAGGGAATGAATGCCATCTATTAGCTGCCAGAATCCTATTTTGTGCACAAATTTTAAGAGCATTTAGGGGCAGGTAGCATCTATGAGCCTAGAACTCTAGAGAAATGTCAATTTTCATTGTTGATTCCATTCTTCTTCAAGACTTTTCTTTATGCCTATTATACAAAATCAGTCTCAAAAAACCTATAGGAAAATTCCTTACATGATTTATAGTTTCAGAAACAGTACAGGCTCTGACCAAACATTCCTACTGTGAAAGTCCCTTTGCAGTCTTCGTCTCCTGTGCCTCCACCAGAGCGGTGGGCATTTTCCATGGGGCCTAGCATGTGTATCACACTGTTCAGAACATAGTAAGATGCTGGCTTTGGAGCAGGGCCGGCATGGAAACTCAGGTGTCACATGGCTGCCCCAGTTTCTTAGCCAGCCTTTCCTGAAGCTCTTGCAGAAGGTATACAAGAGGTAGCTCTTTGCTTCATATTCTCTCTGCCATAGCTTGACAGGTCCTGCAAGGAAGAAGGAAGAGAGAGGAACTGCCAAGGTGCAGCTTGTATCTCAGCTCTCTCTAAAGCTTCTTTTGGCAATGGTGGCTTTTATGGATCCTTTCTGTCTCAAGCTCTAACTGTACTATTTTACTACTTGCTGAAACTTGGTACCTTCTTTCCTTCCACTCCCCTCTCCTACCCCTCCTCTTCCTCCTCCTCTTTTTCTTCTTTCTTCTCCTCCTCCACTCCCCCTCCTCCCTTCCCTCTTTCTTCCGTTTCTTCTTCTTTGTGATCCTGAGACTTAAGCTCAGGGCCTTTGCATGCTGGGCAAGTGTTCTACCGCTGAATTAAATTTCCTGATCTTTTAAAAATTCTTATCAGAGGTAAGGGGAAAAAATGAGAATCAAGACTTGCCATGTAAAGGTACATGATCCCAACAATGAATGTAACTGTACTGTATCCCTAAATGTACCAATAAACTCAATAAAAAAAAAAATTCTTATTTGATTTTGAGACAGGATCTCACTAAATTTCCCAGGCTGATCTCAAACTTTTGATCTCTCTTTTTCAGCCTCCTGAGCTGCTGGAATTACAGGTGTGTACCACTGTGCCCCCACTACACACTATTTTGAACTGTTACATAAATGGAATATGAGCTTTCTCTACTAAGGATCAAACTATGGTCTTCTTGGAAAGGGGTGTCTGTAAACCACAAAAGTTTTTAACCTCATTGTGGGCTGAATTTTATCCTTTGAAGTTTAAATTTTCACCAGTGTGGAAGCTCTTAATCCTTTGTGAATGTGACTTGCCTTGGAAATATCGCCTTAGCCTAGGTGATTATGATGTAAATGAAGATGAAGTCTTTCTGGAGTAGGATGGATGGGTTCTTAATCCAAGGTGACTGGTGCTGTCCTTGCAAGAAAAGACAAACATCCAGGGGAGAAAACCCATGTTATGATACAGACACACAGAAAGAAGATGGACGAGTGATAAGGGAAGCAATGATTGGAAGGAATTAAGTGTTTGTGAGCCAAGGAAAGATAGAGATTGCTGGTGAATACCAAAAGCTAGCAATATAGATGGTTTGGATCTAAAATGTTCTCCCATTGGCTCATATGTCCAGAGACAGGGCTTTTGGAATGTGTGGATTAAATCGTTGATAAATTCATAACTGAGGAGTACTGAGGAGGTGGGGCCTAGATGAAAGGAATGTGAGTCATGGGGACTGCCCTTCAGAAGTGTACTTTGTTCCAGGTTCCTCCATTTCTTGTTCTGTGCTCTCAAGTTCTCTCTCTTTTCCTTGTTTACTAGATGCTATAAGGTAGCAGCTTTCTTTTGGCATACCTTTACCCTGATGTTTCTGCGTCACCACAGTCCTAAAAGCAATGGAGCCCCTGACCATGGACTAAAACCTTTGAAACAGAGAGTCAAAATAAACCTTTTCTTTCCTTAAGTTTATTTCTTGGTATTTTGTCACTGCAACAAAAAGCTGAGAGAAATGCAGCTATATATAGAGAAAAGTCTGAACCTGACAACCTCAACACTTTGAGAATAAACTGTTGTTTTATGCAACCACCCATTTATGGTAATTTGTTACAGTAACCCTAGGAAAATTAATTAATGTATTCATACTCATCCATGACTAGTACTACACCACCTCTACCACAAACACAGTCCATTAAGTATTTACTATGCACTTGACATATAATCTATCTAAAGAAATTTACTTGCAGGTATATATATATATATATATAT